ACTGTGAAATACTATCGTTCGTGTCTCTGATTGGACGATGTCTTTTTACAGTTGTTCGCTTATAATCTTTTCAAATGTGTCGGTCAGTGAGAAAAAATCTCAGTATGTACTTGCTCGCCGCACACACCCGTTAGTTTTGTTTGTTTGCTTGCTTTTTTTTTTTGTATTTTGTTTTTGGTGCATCGCAACTCTTGAATAAAAATTGTCACGGTGCGCACTTTCCATGTGCGCACTTTCCATGAAATAACTTTTTTTTCTTTCAAGTGTTCACTTAGTCTTTTGGGTTGTGCTGCGTTTTTGAAATGGCGCGACAACCTTAGATGCGCCTTGTTTACATCCAAGTAAAGATTTGAGCGCTTTACGGTAGTTTGGCTGCCGATAGAAGTAAATCAATGGGTTTACTATTGAGTTAGCTAGTCCTACTGTTGCGAACCAGAAATATACTGTGAAGTTCCTGGCTTCATTGATCTCAATACCAGTAAGATACGCGATTGGGATCCAACACAAGGTAAAGACGAACACAACAAGTGCAATCGTCTTAGCGACTTGTTTGTTCCTCTGGTTCAATTCTGCAGTGAGGCGAGAAGCTCCTTGATCCTGGTGTAGTGATGCCATTTGACGTGAATTCACGCGCACATGCCTGACCGTAAAAATACCGCCCACGACTATGATGGAATAGCAGCACCCTAAACCAATGGTTTGAAGATACTTTGCGAGAGCTGATCCACGGTAGAAGATTTCTAAAAGAGGAAGGGTCAAAGATCCTATCCATATTATTGCCATGACTATCTTTGCCTTTGTTTTAGTCACAATGGTTTTGTGTCTCATCGGACGACAGATGGCAAAGCACCGATCCACACTGAGGGTAGTCAGCGTCAGTAGCGAGGAAGTGGCAGAGAAAAGTGCTATTATCCAGGCAGCAAAAACCGGAGAAAGGAAAATGCACTTATCCAAAAACCCCTGAATATGGATATACACGACTAAAGGCATCACTACTGCTGTCACCATCAGATCAGCTACTGCCACATTTGCTATGAAGATTCCGCACACGTTCCTCAAAGCTGGAGTCCGGTTAATGGCAAGAATCACGAACATGTTTCCTGACGATCCGATGATAGTGAACGAAGTGTACAAAACCATGGTAACGATTTCACCAAGCAATCCGTGGGGCAGTTTACAGTAAGATTCTTCGTCTAAAGACGCCATGTTATAATCGAGACATCTGCCCAGGAGACACGTACACGAAGTTTTACGAATTTGTTTTCCCTCTGGTGCTCGCCAATTAATCATCTCTTATGTAAATAGCCTGAAAGCTATCGCTACTGAACAATTTTATTCAACATTTTTAAAAATGTAAATGAAGGTAATTGTTAAAAAGTTAACTAATAATTACCTTAAAAGCACATGTCGTGAGAATATAAAATTGTGTTTGAATGCTAAACATCAGGGTGAAAACTCCTCTTTTTTTTGGATTGTGAAGGCAACATTGAGACAAATTGAGCGAAATTTCGAAACATGAAAAATTTGCCGTTGGTGCTTCCGTTCTCAATATGAAACTACGCTATGCTTCGCAGACAACAGCAAAGACTTTAACACGAGCACGGCCAAAGGCAAGCTGACTTCATTTTTCCAATTTCACTCCTGGTTCCTCATGACGTCTTACAGACGCCCAAACGTTGCTTTTAAAACGATTTAATACAATCATCTACACGCTACAGCTCTTACTAGTCATTATGTTTTGATGATTGTGGGCGTCACGACCACACACAAACGTCAAATCATTAATTAACCGTGTTAATCTTTATTAGTGGAAATTTCCTAAACTATCCTCAAATATAGCAGGGGAATCGTTTTCAAAAACTTCCCGAAGAAGTTGTCATCGTTTCAAAGTCATTTCATCAAGAATAACATCTGCCGCACCAGCGCTTCAATTTCGTGAGGCTATAAAAAAACTCCTGAGTTTGTCTTTGCAATTTAGTCTAGATCCAAGTATTGCCCGCGCGTTTTCAGGTAGCTTTCAATAGTTAATCCATATTTTGCATTTAGATTTAGGAATTAGAAACTGGTTCGCAGTTTACTCATGTAACCGCTTCTACAAAATGAATAACTTTTAACTTTTCCTAACATTTTCCAAATGTTATCAGTCCCATTATGAAACTCTCAATTCTTTGCCGCTCGAATTACGAAGACGATCTTTGGAGTTTAAGGGCTCTAACAAGGCAGCGCCTTTTATTTTACATGGTGCGATTTCGCACTTGCACGAAAGCGTTTGTTGGGCCTCGTTTGCATACGGAGCAAAGATTTCAGCGTCTTGGTTGGGATGGTTTGCCTGACGATAAAAATTTATCAACGGGCATTAGTTCTTGAGTTAGCGAGTTTAGCGAACCAGCGATAAAACTTGTCTCTCCTGTCTGCATCAACTGGATCTCAATACCTATGGGAGGGGTACGACTAATACAATCGTCTTGACGACTTCTTTGTTCCTCTTGTTTAATACTGTGGTGAGGCATAGTTAATAGAGGGGACTGGTTAGGAGACCCGGCGAACATCAAAGGAGTATCTCTTTGTTTTCGTTTTGGCCCTATGACGTCATCACGAGAGTGCACAGTCAACCAGCTGAATACAGACGCATGGGGAAGACATTGACAAGAAGCGATACTTAATGTAGATTTTTGATTACATAGAGATAATTATTGGAGTTTTAACTATATAGTTTTATAATATACCATGCCAGGCCGAAACTGTGCGGTCTTTGGCTGTGGACCGTGTAGGCGTCGTGGAGGCGTCGTGTGGATCGTCCCCTCTATTAACTATGGGTGAGGAGAGAAAAATTTCGCTTTGATGTTTCTTTTGTTAAAGTAAAATTATGCATATTATTAAGGCAGTTTCAGTGTGGTGTTTTGTAGACAATAATAAAGACTTTCACACGAGCCCGGTCAATCAAGTGGTTTGCTTATATTAACTAGGTTGAAATTGTAAATTGGCCACCGTAAAGAGTCAAAAAGCTGACGTTTCGAGCGTTAGCCCTTCGTCAGAGCGAATGGAGGAATTGTGGGTCGTGTGTGGGTTTATATGCAGAAAGCGGAGCTACGCTATTGATGGGAACATGGTGACGAGAAAAACACGAATGAATTAGTGGAATGAATAGCGTTCGTTGATACCAATGGGATTAAGAGTGCCGAATTACCGTGTAACTGTTAATTACAACCGCTTGGCCGGGAAAGGTCTGAGTACGAGACAAGGTCCTGTATGGTTAGTTGAAAATCGGAGGGTTTCCTCAAGTATTAGCAATTCTCTACGGTAAACGATTGTTAGCTTTCGTTTGCCTGCGAATGTCGACAAAGCATGCAAAATATATATTTACTCAGGTAGTAAAAGCATTCTGAGTATTTTTTGAATCGTCGCACAGGCCAGGTATCTGATATGTCAATGAACCTGCATTGCAAAAAGAAATACGCGAATAGGTACTTGAATTAGCGTCTAATTACTATGGGCTTTGCAATTAGTGTCCTTTCTAATCTGGTTTTAGTCGATGGAGAAACTTTTAAGGCGACATTTATTGGCCAGCGCAATTTTAAGCATCCGATTTTCTAACGAGACTTAGAGAAATAACAATTGAAACTGTTGTCAATTTGGAAGGTCTGGTTACGAAACAAGGCCACACTGTCTTTGTTGAAAACCCCTAAGCCTCTTACACCGTAACATCAGCATTCATATTCTCAATACCGTTCTCCATACATTTAGTCAAGGATAATTTGTAAACTGTAAGTTACCAGAGAATCCCTTTCAAAAAAAAGATAGTGATTTTTTTAAATTTTTTAAATTTTTTTTATTTTTTATTCAATAATTTGATAATGACATTTGCAATTGTACCCTAATGGTTATACATCACCTACAGAGCAAAACTTTGTTATTAAGGAAAAAATTAAGTAGTTAATGCAGTAAATTATTATGGCCTCTTATAGAGCTGCTGGTAATACAAACTTCTGACCTTTTAGCAGTGACCAAAATGGAGTTTCTCCTTGCGATTCCAAAACAGTTTGGGTAAGGTATTGAGAAGAAAGAAACATATCAAGTAGCAGAAATTTTCTGATTGAACACCAGGTTCTCATTGCTACACCTGTTTGAAATGTGTAGCAGGCATTGAGGAGAATTGAAATGTAGATCTCAGGAGTGGAAAGGTTAAGTTTAGCTTACACCATTTTATAGAAGGAAAACGAACGTGTAGGCTTGTAGACTTTAGACTTTAGTTACTTTGCAGTGGTAAGAGAGTTGCCCACTCTGGTTGGGTTGCCTGGAATATGATAACCTCATCTTTTTAGTATTTAACTTTTTGCACCCTATCATCAGAGTCCATATTCTCCATACTCTTTGTCATACTTTTCCTTCAAAATATTGACGAGAAGAATTTTTTTGACCATCAAATCGTCATAGTTTGACAATCATTTCCTTTATTTTCCTGAACTTGATGCATGACTCAGCGGAGACTTTGAATGTTGAAATTAGATTTTCGTCACTCATAGGGGTCAAATGACAGAAATTTTGGAAAAATCAGATTTGGTTTGGCTTCAAGTTGGTGATCATTTCCTTTATTGTCATGATCTTAATGAGTAATTCGGCAACATTACTAAAAAGAGAAATTACCTGCTGGTCACTCCTGGGGCTTCAGGTTAATTTACACAAAAAATATTAAACTGAGTTGTATATGGCTGGTAAGACTAAGAGTTTAAACAAGGTTCATAAGAAGTCAAGTTCAAACCCCTGTAGTAATTTATTTCCAGTTCTAAGAGGGCCTCGTTAGGGTTAACCGTTTGCTGCAAAACGGCCAAAAACAAAAACAAATTGGGCGTTAGGAGCAAAAATTGGCAAATTTTAATGTTATTCGTTAAAAAAAATTAACCGTAAAGTTTATCCTATCTAGGATGTGTCATTTTGAACGAGTCAACAAAAAAAAAACATTACGTGTGTCTTTTCTTTGGGCTTTTGCGTTTACGACAGTCACACTTTTTATTCAGGTACCGAAAACACCTTGCTCAGGTCCCGCAGTCATATTCTGTGAACCGGAAGTGTCTGCTTTTCGAGCGCTAGACGAGTTTACAGTCAGTAGATTTAGGATATTCAGTTTCTGTATTCATTGTGCGTGTGATGGCGGTTTTGAAAGGAATAGTTAGTTTGCATCGAGCTGGGAAGGATAAGTCAATCGAGAGGTTAAAAGGCGAAGATAAAAATCGGAGAGGAACACTGTCATCATTTAGTAAACATGTTAATGGTTAGTAGTCGAAGAAGTGAGTTTAATGCTAAAGTAGGCTAGAAATAGTTTTAGATTTTGTTTCAGTTCCTGTTTCAACGCAACTGTAGGTGCATGCTGCCAGGCAGTGCACCAAGTCTACTAGTGCAGGTGTTGGTCACTCGAAGAGCGGATAAATTACCTATTCTCTTCCGGTGAAGAATGTATAGTTATTCCCCGGAAGGATTTGACTTCTTAAATAAAGGCTGGATGCAAACTGTTCATCCCCANAAGCTGTTCGAGTTGGACTTTATATTACGTTTCGATTTTAGTTAAAAAGGTGAGACGTGTCTACGACATGCCTCTTGAAAGTTTCTTGATTGATTGATCAGCGGTATCATCACATAAAGTAATAAAACAAGATCTTTTGCTTAATCTCCTACGTCTTGAGAATGACTATATTCTGTTGGAAACGTGCAGAAACACAGCAAAAGAAAGAAAAACAAAACAAAAAAGGAACAAAAACAAAAAACAATTATTAAACGAAGTGCAATTTTAATGTATCATCTATTTGTATCTTTATTTATGTATCACTCAGGTAATATAACACTACAACAATCTGTTTCAGTTTCTGTGACAACAGTGGTATGTGCTCTACATGGAAACAACAATTCAATTAAAACAATTCAATGTCGTTTCCCTGATCTTTAAAAATACCTTTACCTCTTTGGTGCTCTTGTGTAAGAATATCACCACGTTCGCTATATTTTTAAATCATTAAAATTACTGGTTACAGTTATTTAATCATCACAGCCCAATCAGTGAGTGAACATGTTGTTTTCCGTTATTATAATGCTTAACCTAACAAACAGTATTTTCTTTGAACCTGGCCATTGACATTCGTCATGGACGTGTGTTAACAATGTAGAGAAGCATGGCCGAATTTTCCTCTTTTGCTTAAAGCATACTATATTTGCAGTTAAAGTATGTGTATATTAACAAGCCAGCTCTCGCTTTTTTTCTTCAAATTTTGTCTTTCTTGAAATATTTTGAATTAACGAACTTAGAGTGGAATATTGACGGCCCCATTTGAACGGCGGGGACCCCAACGAAATATTATTTTTAATATACCTGCTCTTAATTCTGGCATCCTTAGGGCGTAAATTATAGGATTTATGAAAGAGTTCAGCAACAAAAATGTAACTTTTATCACATCAATGTGAAAAGTAGAATTAAGGGAAAGGTTCAAAACTAGCTTACGATCAAAAGCCGCCGTGCCATAGTATACCTCCAAGGGCAGGAGAGTTAACAACGATCCAAAGGTGACAAGAAACAATGTGCTGGTCAGTTTTCTTTCCCTCAAGCCGGCTGCACCTTGATTTTGAGGATGACGACCAAGACGAACTTTGATATAAATAGAAACATAGCATACAACTATGACAAAAAGAAGGATAGCACAATATGAGAAGAAGACCAAAGGCCACTTGCAATTGGGGTTAATATGAAAGAGAAGTCCATATTCAGTAACGATCATGACTGCAGGTATCAACCAAATGATAATTATTATCACTCCATAAACCCATTTCTTAATGAAGCGATGCTTCAGAGGACGAAAAGTTGCGTGTGTTCGTTCTAATGAAATAAAAGCGAGATTGAGAAGTGACGCTTGATAAAATCTACGTCCAATAGCACTTTCTATTATATATAACCAATTGTTATCAGGCGTATCGTACTCCCACAGCTTACAGTACACGCCCCCAGCGCCTTTAATCCACTGAGGCCCAGAAACCGCCCCGACCAAGAGATCGACTACGGCCAGATGGATGATCAAGTATGTACTCTTCCTCTGTAGATGGCGCTGCTTCACAAATACGATAATGGTCATAATATTGAGGATCACTATGACCAGACATTCCGTGCCAAGCACAACAAGCCATGGAATACAATGGGAGACAGCTGGACGTGACATCATTTTGCTTGTGTTGGGCCGGAGCCACTGAGTTTCAATTGAAATTTCACTCCACCAAACGACCTATAGATGGAGATAATTTTTTAACTTTTCTAGTGAATAATATGATGTTCTGTGGTCTTTCATTTTTTTTTTTTTGCGATACTAGGTGATTGTTATTCTTGATTTAACTATATGTAGACAGTAGCGATTGAGGCGGTCATGTATCTCAATTATACAAGCTATTACGTAAGACCGCTGGGGATATCGTCAAAATATCTGAACAAACTATATTCGATGAATTATAAGAACTGTTTCAGCGACAGGCACACAAGCCTGAGGTATTAAAGTCCGATTCGGGTGTCGTTATCAAAGGTAATTGCATTACATATATATTGCTACCTGAAAATGTGTAAACAAAAAATACTTGCACAACGCCTCGGCAAGAGCCATAATTAGGACCCAATTATGGCTCTTGGCCTCGGTCAATTTCCCATCGGAGAGTCTCGGCGGGCCAAAAGCTTTTTAAAAAGGCTCTGCTTATCGTTAAAAATAGTGATAATAATGCAGTTCTCAAGTTGCATCTAGGTTGCAAACCTGTTTTCCTGCCGTCGCAGCTTTATTGTTTCTGTAAAATCTCTATCGATCTTTGATAGAACGGAAACTTACCTGAACGCACTGATGTCGCCGCTAAACTCTGCTTTCCCTGTGCTCGGCAACTGATTTATTTTTGAAGTTGTATATCAAGTGACTTCCTTCGTTTCCCCCACTTTATAACACTTGGAAGAGGTTATTACTGAAAGATGAATTGCAAACCCTATAAACCAAAAAAACAAACAAAACAAAAAAAAAAAACAAAAAATAGAGAAGAGCAGGAAAAGTTCAGTAAACTTA